TWAYAAATTGTTTTCATAATAACATATTATCCTACAAATTGTTTTCATAAGAAGTAATAAATTGTTTTCATAAGATAATAGGAGATGGAATGGAGTTCACTGGAGAGGTGTTGTTAAGGTGTGTTTGAGATTGCTTATAAAAACAACTTATTGAAATAAATTAGTTTTACCGCTCCTAAATCTTACAATACTGAAACAAGTGGCAGATCCAGAAATATTGGTGACTGGGGATATAAAAATCTTGAAACGAATAACTCATCCAAACCAAAACGGTTTCAGATTATCCGGCTTGCAGTTAACCAAATAACGTAAGTTTCAATTTTGTTTGTTTTTTTACCTTATCGGTTAACCCGAATAACAATTTTTACTATTAATTTATTTATGTTTCCTTCCAGATGAATTGGTTTGAGCATATATAAAATTAACATTAGGTGAGTTGATTTGTATTTAAACTAAAAAAACAAGAAATTGAGATATATTTAACAAAACCATCGATCAATATTATCATTGTAGCATGATTGCAATGCAAAAACTAGAGGTAACCGAGGATAATGACAATTAAACAATGAAGTGGGGGTTTTTATCAAATGGATTGGATCACTGGGGGAAATTGTAAAAAATGACTGGGGAAACTTAAGAATATAAGAGTAAAAAGATAAAAAAAAATGACCCATATTATTTTGAAAAATTAACATTTTTAGTGGGGGCCTTTTCCCCCCACCTTGACTAATGTGAATTCGTCCCTAATTTAAACCCTTCGTACCCAACAACATCGTCTTCCTTGTTAGCCCTCGCCACCTCGTTGACGTCTATTCTCGATACATCTATCATCTCTATTGGCCTTTACCATTGATCTCTCTCTCCTTTTTTTTTCAATTCATTTATTTTTTACAATAATCTAGTGGAGTACATACAGACAAATCAAAAAATAGAAAATCTGAAAGCAAAAAAAAAAATGATCATAAAGAAAGAAGATCGATGGCAGGGACCAATGGCAGTTATGGGATGTGAAAAAAATACACAATGATGGGGCGACATAGATGGTAAGGAGAAGCAATGATGTTGAGTGCAAGGGGATTGTATGATGTAGAGTTTGTAAACGATAAAATTTATTTAGGTTTTTTAATTTTTTAAAACTTTTCTAGTCGATTACATGTAGATTTATTGGATTAAGACAACGTAGGTAACACTTTCTAAAATTTCAATGCTTATTTATTTAAAAAAAATTCAGTGATTTAATTATTTAAAATGAAAAGTTTAATAAAAAAATATTAAAAAAGAGTTTAGGGACAATTAGTTCGTTCGAATTTGTGAAAATTTTCAAACAAGATAGGGTTGAACATAAAAAATTGTTTGGGACCTATTAATATTATGTTGCTTTAATTGAATCAAATATTTCTGAAAGCTTAAAAGTAGTTTCTTTTTAAATAAAGAATTCAAATAATATACAATCTATTTAGATGAAATCTGTTTTTTTAAGTTTTTTTATAATTACTTCCTTGGGGGAAATTTTGTTTATTAGGAACCCAAGAACCGTTCACAACATGTCACGTGATCTTTTTCAGGATGAATATTAATTATGAATTCCATATTAATAATAAATATGGAAGAGTTAACCACAAGAGTGGTGCCTGATTGGTTTGAATTTGGCTCCAAAGGTCAAAAGTATCAGGAGGTCTCAGGTTCAAATCTAAAGAGAATAAAAATCCCCTTGTGGTCACGGAGGTTCAAATGCAGTGACTCCGGGCTATCTGCAAAGCAGGTGGTCACCCTGAGATTAGTCGGCTTGCATAGCGGGTTGGATATCCAGGTTAATAAAAAAAATATGGAAGAGTTGTTTATCATTAACCAAATACTTTATGACGAATGTTGACGTGTTATTGATCGTGAATCGCACATTAATGATGAATATATTACAATATTCATGATGAATAACACATATAACACATTCCTATAACTAATGAATATGCCACATGACGCACTGTAGGCGGTTCCTAATCAATTTTAGGTTCCTAACGAACCTACCCCTACTTCCTCTTTCCTAAAATAAATATTCACATTTTTATTCATGTTTATTCCAAATAAGTGTTCAGTTTAAAAAAATATATAACTCTATTTTTAATGAATATACAAATACTTAAGAGTCGATAAAATAGATTGCTTAATTAAGAGTAAAGTTGTCATTTGGTTAGCTAAAAAGTATATAATAATCATTCATTTCAAAACTTGTATAACAGTTGGGTTCCATTAACTCATAATAGTAATGTTAAATGAATTGTGGGTGAAACTGTGCATAGCATGCTTGTACCTATGTTTATACCTCTGATACTTCAAACTAATTTCGTCATACAAGAGGCCACACACGTACAAAATGAAACTAAATTTAACTTAAAATGTCAAATTAACACCTACTTAGACACAAAGCTGAGTAACTAGACTTGAATGTCCAAAACGAAATTTTTAAAAATATAAATACCCCTAACATTTTTGAAAATCATTTTAACCCTAATGCATTTTCTTTATCACTTGCTTTCTCTTATCTCTTCAAGAATCCTCTTTAGTAAAATCAGATCAAGTCAATGTATCTCAAATTAGTTGAAGTTTTGGAAGATTTAAACTCAAAAACTTAAAGGTATGTGTAGAATTTCAAATTCTTCCAAGTTGAAATTTCTACTTAGACCAATGTTTCATATGGAAAGGAGTAAGACAATCAATAATAATCCAAGATTGGATTCTTGGCCCAATCCAAAATTCCGTATGTGAGCATATTAAAAGAAAGAATCACCTATTCTAGGAGAGAAATGAAAGGATGAACAAATATATAAAACAATATTTATTCAATGATTTTGAACAACATACAGGAAGAAATATACATATATAAACCTAACTATTTATTAATCAAAATGATTAACAATCTTTATGAACAAAGCTGTAAACCTAAACTGAATCGCACTCAAATCTTCTAGAGAGAGATAGAGTAAAACTTTTGAGATATGGAAAAATGAATCTGAATGAGCTGTGAAGAGTCGTTTGAGCCCTTTATATAAGAATTTCAATATGGCAGAAATGGTCCTCCATTTTTACGAAAGTTGCTCCGCTACCTCTGATCTTCTCCCAATAGTGAGGTGCGATCCCTGACTTTATGAACACATCTTTTGACTGATTTCAACATTCTTCCTAACATTCTAAAGTAAAGATTGTTAGTTTAAAGATATCTTTTAACATCCCACCTCAATCTTGACTTTTGAATAAATCAATCATTTTTAATTTTGAACATAAGTAATTATGATGATTGATTCCAAGAGCCTTTGTGAATATATCAGCTGGCTGTTCAGAGGAAAGAATTTTTTTCAATCTTTAACAAACCTTTACTAATAGTTTCGCGAACAAAATGAATGTCAATCTCAATGTGTTTAGTTCTCTCATGAAACACAGGGTTATTTGCTATTTGAATGGCCGATTTATTGTCACAGTGTAATGAAACATGTAATAAATCAGAAATATTAAGATCAGAAAGTATCTTTAACACCCATAACACTTCACATGAAGCAGAGGCCATGGTTCTGTATTCTGACTCAGCAGAAGAGCGTGAAACAGTGCTTTGTTTCTTCCTCTTCCACGATATCATTGAAGAACCCAAAAATAAGCAAAAACCTGTTACCGAGCGCCTGGATGACAAGCACTTACCCCAGTTTGCGTCAACATAGGCAGTTAGAGAAATATTAATAGATTTTGTAAAACTAATTCCTTTACCTGGAGAGAGTTTTAGATATCTCAGAACCCTGAGGGCTAACTTTAAGTGAGACTGTCTTGGTGAGTGCATGAATTGGCTCAGGCAATGAACAGCAAAGCAGATATCAGGCCTAGTATTTAACAAATATATCAATCTTCCAATTAACCTTTGGAAGCCAGTTTGATCAGTTAACGGAGGATCATTTACATTAGAAGAATTAGTAATAATCAAATTCATATCCATGGGAGTGTTACAAGGCTTAGAACCTAAGTAACCAAAGTTATTAAGAAGCTCTAAGCAGTATTTCCTTTGTGACATACAAATACCACTATCATATTCCATAATTTCAATGCCCAGAAAGAACTTTAATTTTCCTAAATCTTTTACTAAAAATTTGCTTTTCAAGAAATTCTTAATATTGTTAACTTCGGAAACAGAGTTTCCAGTCACAACTATATCGTCAACATAAACCAAAAGAATGACAAAAACAGAACCAACACTCTTTGTAAACAAAGAATAATCATTTATACTTTGAATGAAACCATTTTCATATAGGCATGAAGACAACTTGGCATACCACTGCCGTGGTGCCTGTTTCAACCCATATAGAGACTTAATCAATTTAAACACATGTTTATCTTTGGCATCATAATAGCCTTCAGGGAAAGTCATATAAACTTCTTCATTTAGATCACCATATAAAAAAGCATTATTTATATCTAACTGAAAAAGACTCCAACTGTTTTGAACAGCTAAAGAAACAACACATCTAACAGTAACCATTTTTACCACAAGAGAAAATGTTTCTTCATAGTCAAGACCCTCCCTTTGACTGTAGCCTTTAGCTACTAGTCTAGCCTTGTACCTTTCAATTTCACCAGTGGATTTATATTTAATCTTATAAATCCACTTACAACCTATGGGTTTTCTACCAATGGGTAAAGAAGTAATAATCCAAGTACCATTCCTATGAAGCCTCCATTTCATTATTCATAGTTTCTATCCAATTAGGATCATTACAAGCCTCATGAAAATTCTTTGGTTCAACAGATGTATTCAAACATGACACAAAACATAGATTTTTAGAAGATAAAACCGAATAATTAACCACCTTTTCTAAGCCATATTTGACCTTTTCCTCAACAACAAAGTCATCAAATTTATGAGGAAAAACAGACACTTTAGTAGATCTTCTAGTTTCTGAACTAGAAGAAGGCAACCTAGAGCTACCCTCAGACCTGAGACTTGAAGAATGGTTATTATCACGAGACTGTATATCGGCAACCACTTCAGTGCTACTCATGAGTTGCCTACTGGTAACTTTTTCAATATTATTAATGACTTGATTTAAAGAGTCCATAAATAAAGACTCAGTTGAGCTACCTAGAGGCTCCTCAGTGGCAACTCTAGTTGGGCTACTAGGTATATTGTGAGTATTGAGATCAGATCCTGACTGAGGAGTAGATCCATCAGTAGAGTTGTCTCGAGGTTCATCATTGGGTGTTCCATCCATATTTTCATTAGATGAACTATATTGAAAGAAATTTAATCTAACAACATCATCATGATTGTGTTCATCAACTTTATTCATCCTCATCTTAAAAGGAAAAATGTTCTCATAGAATTTAACGTCACGTGAAACAATAATTTTCTTTGACTCCAAACCAAACAGTTTATAGCCCTTTTGAGAACCAGCATATTCTAATAGGACACATTTTTCAGATTTTGGCAAAAATTTATCAGTTACATTAGGTATGCTAGCAAAACACAGACATCCAAAGCATTTTAAATGAGAAAGGACAGGTTTGAACCCATAGACTAGATCAGAGGGATACTTATCGTTAAGCACAGAAGAGAGAGTTCTATTAATCAAGTAAGTGGCAGTAAGGATGCATTCACTCCACATGTTAAGGAGAACTCCTCCCTGAAATAAGAGAGCCCTAGCAACATTTAAAAGATGACGATGTTTTCTTTCTACCACCCCATTCTGTTGGGGGTATAGACACATGAAGTCTGGTGTAAAATGCCTTTGTTTTTAAAGAAATCACTCAGTGTTTTACTCATAAACTTAGAACCATTGTCAGTCCTAAAAATTTTAACAGCCTTTTCAAACTAAGTATTAAGAAGATTGTAAAAAGTGATAATGTTTTCCTCGACTTCGTACTTACCCTTTAGTAAGAATACCCAGACGGCCCGAGTATAATCGTCAACGACAATCAAAAAGTATTTAAAACCTTCTTTAGTCTGGACATGGTAAGGACCCCACACATCTAGGTGAACCAAAGTCACCTAGACTTTTTGTTTTGTGAACACTAGATTCAAAACTTTCACGAGTTTGTTTTGCCTTATGGCAAATCTCACAGGGACCACAGCTGTCACTATCAATTTTAAGGTCATTTTTAAGTAACTTCAACACTTGATTAGCAGGATGCCCTAAGCGAGAATGCCATAATTGGGCAGAAGGGACAAAAGACATATTAGAAACAGATAGTAAGTTAACATTGAAGTCTGGAACTACCAACACATCAAACAAAATGATATTGTTTGTCAATTTAAAATCACCAATTTTATTTATTTTGGCTTTAGTGCCATTAAGATGACAAACTCTGAGATCAAGCTCAGAGATGTCAATCATATTTTTTAGAAATTTGGAATTATGCGTCATGTGTTGGTTCGCTCCAGAATCAATGATCCAACCAGATAGAGGGTTAGTACCTGCCATATTAGCAGAGGCTCCCTCGTATGGTTGTTTTTGCTCAATAGACCCAAGGAGTTTATTTATATGTTCTCAAAAAAAAGGAAAGGGGATGACAGATTGGGTGTTTTTAGAATAAGTAACATCAGGGACATTAGCATTATTATTGCTAAAAGTATTTTTGAAAGGGGAATTTTGAGGTCTAGAACGATTTTGAGAGCTATTTGGAAAACCAATCTGCTTAAAACACCTTTCAATGGTGTGTCCCGTCATGCCACAATGTTTAAAGTTAAGCACAGTATTCTTTCCAAACGTTTTTTATTATCTGTAGACTTGCTAAAAAAATGCAATGTTTTGAGACTTTGGCCTAGATTGGGACACATTACCCCCACGATGAGATTCTTCGTGAGAGACAAGGGAAAAGGCAGTTTTGACCGATGGTAGAGGGTCCCTCGTGAGAATATTGCTTCTTATGTGTTGGTATAAATCGTCAAGACCCATAAGGAACTGGATAAGTTTGACCAATTGTGTGTGTTCCAAAAATTCGTGTGAGGCATTACAGGTGCAGGTAGGGAGTTTTACAAGAGCGTCAAATTGTTTCCATAATGAGTTTAATCTATGATAGCAATCAGAAACATAAGATCCATTTTGACACAAGGAATTTATTTTTTGATACAGATTGAACATGACAGACTCGTCAACTTTGTCATATGTCTCTTTTAATTCGTCCCAAACCTTTGAGGCTTCTTTAGAGAAAACCTGACCTAAAAATAGGTCCTCTGTCATAGAACTCAGAATCCATGAGAGGACCACTGAGTTACATCTATCCCATTGTTTTTCAAGAATGGGATCATTGACAGGTCTGGGACAGGATCTATCAATGAAATCGATTTTATTTTTCGTTTCAAGGGCCAAAATCATAGCACATGCCCAAACCTTGTAATTATCCGTACCACACAGTTTCATAGTTAACAGAGGTGTTCTGCTTATATCATTAGGCTGTAGATACAACAGATGTCCAAAATCAAGACTAGTGATTTTGGATTCCATTGGTCTACTAGTGACAAGCTCAAAACCAGACATAGAGAAAAGCACACAAAGGAAACTAAGACAGATAAAAGCAGGATTCCTAAAACACTTAAAGTGCTAGGTCAAGTTAACTGTCTAGCTCCTTAAAAGAAAAAGAAAAAGCACACACAAAACAGATAAAAAATGGCTAAAACACAGATGAACACCAAGGAAGAAGGGAAGAAACCAAACTTGATAGTCAGCAACAAAACTTTAACCAAAGGTTAAAGAAAGAATACACGCACCAGGATAGCCTGAACAAACAGACTGGAACCTCAAGGATCCCAAAAACTTTGCCGATAGGTTCACGGCAAGCAGGAACAAATATGAAGGCTAAACAGAGTAAACACAGTTCATATGACAATAAATCCAGGACTGAGAAATAGCCAAACATAAAGTACTAACATGAAACGCAAGCAAATAGATGAGCGTAATAGAAGAATACACAAAGAATAAGGCTATTTTAAAAGCAGCGAGTATCACAGATCTGAGTGGAAGATCGTCATCAATAAGAGAAAAATGCAACCATATCAAACTGATCATTTACTATAACATGTAATATCTACCTTACTTAACAAAGAGTTGAGGATTATTAACAATCTAAAGCAATAAAGTGTATCACAGAACATAGAAGATTCAGATCTAAGGTTATGTAAACAGAACATACAAAATGCATTACAAATGCAAGAAAACTAGATCTGATCATAAGCATAAAGGGCTTACACCAGATTTGAAGAATGATTCAGATATAAAGGTTATAAAACAGACCATATATATTTTGATATGACTGTAACATCTCATAAGAAACGATCTAAATCTAAAATGAACAATATCGAACATGTATATCTAAACAGAAAGATGCAAAATAGCATATCTGTATCATAGATTGAATGGTAGATCGAGACTTTAAAAGGATCATTGCAAACAATAAGCAGATCTATTCATGTACAAAATACGAACCAAGATAAGAACAAAGTTATACAACTAATACCACAACTCAACAGGCGATTCAAAAGAAAACAACAACTACAAACTTGAGTATTACACCTTATGAGTCGACACAAACAAGATCAACGAATTTGTATAGGCTTCGACTAAAATGATCATTTACTCAAGAACAAGAAAGGAAGACGAAAGGTTTACCTGGAAGATTTGAACACAGATTGATAAATGTAACAACCCATATAGTCCATGTACAGATAATTCATATCATCATACTCATAATACTAAAAATAGTATTGTTACAAAACATGGACTAATAAAAACTTTATTTAATACATATATGAGTAAAAAATATGCCATCAACACTAAACTTTTCCCTTTCCTTTATCCTGTGAGGTATGATGATCTGCAAAACCGGTTAGTCCAACAACTGAGCGTTAGACCAAAAAGGTCTAGTAAGTGTATAAATCTCAAACAAACAACATACATTCTAAACAATCAGTTTAGAATCAAACCTGTTCTGATACATAAACATATTTATGTCTCTCGCGGTTACACCGTCATTACATCTCTCTCGCGGTTACACCGCCATTACATCTCTCTCGCGGTTACCCCGCCATTACATCTCTCTCGCGGTTACACCGCCATTACATCTATCTCGCGGTTACATCGCCATTATATCTCAAACACTTCAAAATTATTTCAACACAATAACCGGATTTGAAGTCCGGTCAACTTTGTCTGGATATGAAGTCCGAACAAACACTTAGAATATATTTCGACATTCATGACCAGAGCCCCTCTGGTCTCTTTTCCAGAGCTTCTGGTTTCACGACCAGAGCCTCTGGTTCCAAACCATACTTAGAATATAATTCAACATCCAGGACCAGAGCCCCTCTGGTCTTTCTTCCAGAGCTTCTGGTTTCA